CAATTCCAATTATGGGGGGTGAAGAGTGGCAGTTTTTGCTGTTTCTCATTAGGCTGGAGATGATTGTGCCATATTCTCATCACTGATTTTAGATAAATCCCCTCTCTTATAACGTTATTTTTCCAATCCCCACCCCATAGGTATCCTTCCTAGTATGTTTGGGATATGTCTTCAAGTGCGTATGTATCTTTCATAAATGCATGTGTCGTTTTCCATGGATGTGATTTTAACTAGCCAACATGAAATTGTGGTATGATATTGCTCCATTTTATTTATTTACTCAAGACTACTTTTAAAGGTCTATCCATATTCTCTGTGTATCTCTAATTCATCACTTCCAATTGCTGCAGAGTATTTTGTGATAAAGGTCCTTCATGTTTTACTTACCCATCCCCCTAGAGATGGAAACCTAGGTTGCTTCACGCTTTCTACATGCAATGAACATCCTCCTGAAGATGCCATTATGGGCTGAGGTGAGTTTCTCTAGAGGACTACATGGCCATGACAATTACTCTCACTCAAATTCTCTTGATAAAGCTGGATTGCTCTTCTGAATAAATGCACTAGTCCACATGCTTAGTATATGTTCATAAATGACTTATTCAGAATACACTAAGTTTCAAGTTAAATTTTTGAAATATTTATTTGTTTTTGAGATAAAGTGTGAGCAGGGGAGGGGCAGAGAGAGAGGGAGACAGAATCTGAAGCAGGCTCTAGGCTTTGAGCTGTCAGCACAGAGCCCGATGTGGGGCTCGAACTCACGAGTCGCGAGATCATGAGCTGAGCCGAAGTCGGACACTCAACCAACTGAGCCACCCAGGTGCCCCCAGAATACACTAAGTTTCAGAGTCATATGGTGATGTATACAAGATCCAAGTCTTCCAGTTCAGTTCTAAGGCTTTATCCATTGGGAAATGCCTTTCTGAGAAAGAACCCCCCTCCCCACATGGATGTGCACAAGCACAGATACAAAGTTTAGCTGAATTACTCCTTAAGGGGTATAATTATCCTTCACTGCCCCTCATTCAATGATTATTTATTGAAGGGCAGCTATAGAAGACATTGCTTTTTTTTCTTCACAAGGTCAAGGTGTTATTTCCCCTCATCCTCAATGCCCCTGTTCCAAGCAGGTATGCACTAGGGGATGAGATCCTTCCTTTCCTTGAAGGAACTTACAATCTAACTTCCTCTCATAACCATAATCAACATTAATACAGGTAGCAGATTTTTCAAAAACTTTTTGTGGTTCTGTTTTCTTACATCTGCATCTGCATGTGATGGCCTGAGAATCCCTCAAAATTGATCATTTTACCTAGTCCCTGTTCTCCATTTCTGGAAACGACAAACTCCCTCAAACTTCAGGTCCCAAATATCCAAGTCATACCAGAAGACAGTTACAAGGCTACTGGCCAGAGCCCAGCATGTAGCACAGTGATTCTGTCAGGAGTTCAATGCATTATGAGCAAATATGGCAGAACCATAAACCAGATCCATTTTAGCTGTGGCCGGTTATGCCCTTGGGTTTGAAATAATTAATTTCCTAGACATGTGGTCCCCAGATGAAATTCATGCTGTGATTTGATTTTTTAAATGCAAAAAAAAAAAAAATTCTCCAGCAGAAATTCATCACCAACATGTTAAGGAATTTGATGACTAAAAATAATCTCCCCAGAGAGTGTACAGGCATGGTGTGCAGACTTGGAAAGGAAGAACACACCAGTGAGTCTATGTGAGAGGGAATGACATGGGCACTGAACTGGGGGCCCACCTTCTGGTATCAAAGGCTGTATCACATGTCAAAAAATATATATTTTTAATCTATTAAATAAGAAATTATTTTGGGGCGCCTGGTGGCTCAGTCAGTTAAGCGTCTGGCTTTGGCTCAGGTCATGATCTCACGATTCGTGAGTTCGAGCCCCACATCAGGCTCTGTGCTGACAGATCAGAGCCCGGAGCCTGCTTCGGATTCTGTGTCTCCCTCTCTTTCTGCCCCTCCCCTGTTCGCTCGCTCTCTCTCTCTCTCTTTTGAAAATAAATAAACATTAAAAAAATTTTTTTAAATAAGAAATGATTTTAAATGCTTACCATGGATATGAGCCTTCAAATCATATTCATTCCCTAGAAGGCAAGTTATAAATTGGGGAGAGTCAGTTCTGTACACAGTTAGGTGGAGCCCACTCTTCCCCCTCAGAAAATGGTTCTCCTAGATCCTGGGGAAAGAAACCACTCAGTTGCTCTAAAAGAAGAACACTGAAGGCAGAATTTACCCTGAAGCAGGCAGGTGGTGATGGTTGAAAGCTGAGAACACTGACAGATTTATACTGAGCCTCTATAGAAGCCCAAGGTCATTATTTAGGTTCTAGGGATCTAGGACCAAATTTAGTCTGCCAACTTGAGACCCAGGAGTGGAAGCCAACTGGGGACTGGCCTAGGGAGGGAGCCATGCAGCTACATGGGGAAGAGCATTCTTCGCTGAGATCTTCCTGCATATTGGAGGCAGCAACTCCTGGTTTCGAGGAAGTGCCTTCCTGGGCTCAGCTGATGCTGGCTGTGGCTGCAGCTATCTTGCCAGGCTGGTTCTACAGTGTGGTTCTGAGAGCTCTTCTAGAAGTTCAGCTTATAGCCTGTTCTTCCAGCCTTTCCAACACTTATATGAGCTACCTAATAACTCCCTTTCAGCCTAAAGTAGTTAGTATGGATTTTATTGTTGAAACCAAGAACTTGACCCAATTTTAGTTGATTATAGTATCAGTCTTAGGGTTTTCCTTTGTACGAATTAGTGCATTATACCTCCTTATCTGATTTATCAGCTTTAAAAGATGAAATCTTTTGGCCCCCTAGCTATAAAGGATTAGGAAATCAGCATATTTACCTTCCTCAATTTTTATTATACAGCCTCCCAAATTTTGGGCAGCTGACTTTCCTACATAATTCCTGTAAATATTCATACTCCTAAATACCAAATCTAGACTTCTTGGTGCTCAGTATCTGATTACCCTGCACCCCAGATAATATTGCTTTTAGGCTAGCCCTACAAGAAGAAAGAATAATGGGGGAGGACAGGGCATCCTTCCATTGAAACTCAAACCCACTCTGTGTTCAGCTGATTGCTTAGGTCCTGATGTGCTTCTCCACAGGATGATGAGAAGATAGAGGGCTAGTCATTTTTTCCTCTTCCTGCTCACCCCTGGCTTATAGTTTTCTCCAACAAAATCTGATCCTTAAGCCATATTGCATGATGTTGAGGAATTCATTGTGAACCCTGTTTTACCATGGGTGGTGACCACAAAGGGACTCACCTTGTATTACAGTGAAGATCACTTCTCAGGATGTAAAAAACACAAAACAGAAATTATCAGAGAAGAGTCCATAACCACTATGTCATGAATAAAAAAAATCAATAAAGCAATGATTGCTATATGCAAAATCAAGACATAAATGACAAACTGGGAAAAATATTTGTACCTCATATCACAAAGGGTTTTGATTTCCTTGATATAAAGAGTCCCCTGTAAATCAATAAGACCAACACCCAACAGGAAAATGGGCCAATGATATGGATACACAGTTTATAGAAAAGGAGGTACAAAGGAAACACTAAGACAAATGACTTTTAAACCCAGGAAATGAGAAAAATTTTATTTCAAAATATACCGAGACTCCATTTTTCACCTCTTAAAATGGCACAGACCAAAAACATTAAAAAAAAAAAAAAAAAGGGTGGGGCGCCTGGGTGGCTCAGTCGGTTAAACGTCCGACTTCAGCTCGGGTCACGATCTCGCAGTCCGTGAGTTCGAGCCCCGCATTGGGCTCTGGGCTGATGGCTCAGAGCCTGGAGCCTGCTTCCGATTCTGTGTCTCCCTCTCTCTCTCTGCCCCTCCCCCGTTCATGCTCTGTCTCTCTCTGTCTCAAAAATAAATAAACGTTAAAAAAAAAATTAAAAAAAAAATGACACAGACGAAAATGTACTATAGTCCATGGTGTTGACAAGGGTCTGGGGAAATGGGCATGCTTACTGATGGGAATATAAATCAGTATACAACTTCTGGGGAGAGCAATTTGGTGATACCTGTTCAAATGATAAGTGCACATATCCTTTTAGCCAGAATTCTAATCTCAGGGATTTATTCTACTGATACACTTGCATATATAGAAACTGAGTTATGTACAATTGTAGCATTGTCTGTGAGAGCAAAATATTAAAAACATTTTTTTTAACATTTATGTATTTTTGAGAGACACAGAGAAACAGAGTGTGAGTGGGGGAGGGGCAGAGAGAGAGGGAGACACAGAATATAAAGCAGGCTCCAGGCTCTGAGCTATCAGCACAGAGCCCGATGCGGGGCTCGAGCCCATGAACGGCAAGATCATGACCTGAGCTGAAGTTGGACCTTTAACTGACTGAGCCACCCAGGCGCCCTGAGAGCAAAATATTTTCAATCACTTGAAAACAACAAGGAAAATAAGAAATGTAATCTTTGACATACTGGCCAAGTCACTTTTACCCTAAACCTTAACATATGTGAAGGAAGGCTATTTTCTATGGTGAGAATCCAACTCAAGTAAGAAAGGAGATCCAGGCAGAGAGATTGCATATTGCAGAGCTGGCAGAACTCGGAATGCTCAAACCTTCCTGGGAATGCAAGTGGATTCCTGAAATCCTTGCTTAGAACCGACAGTACCTTGCTTAGAACCACACTTGGTGCAGGCCAGCTGTTGAAGTTTTCTTGGACTCCATTTGAGACCACTGAGGGGGGAGGGGAGCAGGTGAAGAAAGAAGGTTGTAGACCCACAGTCTTGGCATGGTGACGCCAGGTGGAAGAATAGCCGTCAGTAATAAGCTGCCCTGCAGTTGCTAAACTTTTCCTCTGAAGAAGAGGAAGCACGAGGCCAGCTCATACCAGCACACATACAGACTCTGCTTAGATCATGGGGGCTCAGGGAGAGGTATGGCGCTCCGCTTTGGGCCCTTCCCCACAAGTACTTCAGCATATAGGTAGTCCAAGTAGCCGGGTCTCCAGGAGCCAACATTCATATTGTATTTCATGTGGATGGCACCCTCTGGAGAGGACACTATTTGGAGATTGTCCTTTGGAGATGTACAGTGGGACAGCCCTGCCAGGAAAAGTGCCCTTACCGGGGCACCTGGGTGGCTCAGTCGGTTAAGTGTCTGACTTCAGCTCAGACCATGATCTCACAGTTCGTGAGTTCAAGCCCCGCATCGGGCTCTGTGCTGACAGCTCAGAGCCTGGAGCATGCTTGAGATTCTGTGTCTCTCTCTCTTTCTGCCCCTCCCTTGCTCATGCTCTGTCTGTCTGTCTCTCTCTCTCAAAAGTAAATAATAAACTTTAAAAATAATTTTTTAAAAAAGTGCCCTAGGGAAACAGCACAAATCTTTACAAAAATACAACAAAAAAGGAGGGAATCAATAGGGAAAATAATTGGCAGACAAAGAACCATGGCAGAAAGATCTTGTCACAAAGCCAGAGAAAATTATGACCAAAAAAAATTCCATTATCTCTAGAAACTAAAGGAAAAGTAATCTCTAGGAAAAAAATAACCTGTATATAACAAGCACTCAAAGCAGAGACACAAGGGGTCAAGGAGAAAATGACTAGACAACTGAAGTTAAAACATGAGTTAGTGGGCTACCTGGCTGGCTCAGTTGGCTGATCATACTACTCTTGATCTCAAGGTCATGAGTTCAAGCCCCATGTTGGGCATGGAGCCTATTTTAAAGACAAACAAACAAACAACAAAAACAAAAACATGAGTTAGTGTTAAAATTTGTTACTTTGAGGTAGACTTTATATACAGCAAAGTCTTAGATGTATAGCTTCATAAATTTTTTAAAAGTTAACTACACCCATGTACCCACCATTCTGATACAGATATGGAACATTACCAACACCCAAAAAGGTTCTTTCTTGTCCCCTCCCAGTCTAGGGTAATTGCTGTTTCGATTACTATCATTCACTATCAATTAGTTTTGTCTAGTGTTAAATGTACTATAAATGAAAACATATAGTAGGTACTCTTGTATGTGTGTAGGTTTCTCTACTTTACATTATGTTGATGATATTCATCCACATTGTTTGAATAGCAATCGTTCAATCTTTTGCACTATCACATAGTATTCTATTAGATATATGTGACACTATTTATCCATTAACGCTTGAATTGATTCTAGTTTTTAACTATGATGAAAAAGGCTGCTATGAATACTCTTGTACATGTCTTTTGGGGGATATAAACATTCATTTCTGTTGGGAATATACAAAGGAGTAGAATTTCTAGGTCAAAAAGTACCTGTATATATAGGTTTGAAATCATTAAAAAGTTGGGTTTTTTTTTTAATGTTTATTTATTTATGTTGAGAGAGAGAGATAGAGCATAAGCAGGGGAGGGGCAGAGAGAGGAAGAGAGAGAATCTGAAGCAGGCTCCGCACTGTCAGCACAGAGCCCAATTCAGGGCTCAAACCCACAAACGGTGAGATCATGATCTGAGCCAAAATCAAAATATTGGTGTGCGGAGTGAGGTAGGGGGTCAAGGTTAATTTTTTCCTATATGAGTAGCCAATTTACCCAACACCATTATTCCAAATAACATCTTCCCCCCATGAATTACACGTATCACAAGTCAGGGAACTGTATATGTGTGGGTCTGTTTCTGGATTTCTTTTCCTTCATCTGTTTGTCTCTCCTAATACCTAAATCACATTGTCTGAATTCTAACTTCATGAGAAATCTAATGCCTAAAAGTGTAAGTCCTCCATATTTATTCTTCTTCTTCAAGATTGCCACTTTCAAGATTGTTCTAGGTCCTTAGAATTTCCAGATAAATTTTAGAATAAACTTGTCAGTTTAAGCTGATGTACTTCTAAACCAGATGTTAGTAGTCAAGTCTTTGTTTAATTAGTCCTTATACCTTATATATACTTTTAAATTTCATTGATAAAATATAGCGTGAGTGTTGATTTTGGGGGAGTGTGTGTTGGTTCAGTCGGTTAAGAGTCTGACTCTTGATGTCAGCTCAGGTCATGATCTCATGGTTTTTGAGATGAAGCCCCCATTAGGGCTGACAGTGTGGAGCCTGTTTGGGATTCTCTCTCTCCCTTTCTCTGCCCCTCCCCCGCTCATGCTCGGTCTCTCTCAAAATAAATAAATAAACATAAAAAACTGATTTTTAAAATCAATTGGAAGAGTTAGAAAAGAGGAGAGAAAAGGTATTTACTACTCCAGAACTGAGGGCCACAATAGGAGTGACAAAGAAACAGTGAACACATGAAAACCAGTAAAGAACATAGAAGAAAAGCTTGAGAAAAAAAAAAAAAAAGCAAAGAAAGATGAAAACAAACAATTTGAACTGTCAACAAGAATATGTCTCAATAAAGTTACTAGACTACAATGATAAAGAAAAAAAATTTTGAACATTTACGCAAAATTATCGACTCATCTATAAAGGGAAAAATTTCAGATGAGTCTTGGACTTCTCCATAGTAACATTCAACAATAAAAAAAACAGTGAGACAATCCTTATAAAAAAACAAGTGTGATCCAAGAATATCATACACAGCCTACCTATTATCATTTAAATATAAATGCAACAGACAAATTGTCCAACATGCCAAAAGTCAGGGAATACAGTTTCTTTCTGGAAGAAAGTACTGCAGGTCGACCTTTAGCCAACCAAAAGAAGATGCAGAATTTGGAGAGGTGCGTTCATTGGATACGAGCAAACACAAAGGACCAAGATGGCTGCTGCCCCAGAAACTTGTTTCAAGCTCTGGAAAACAGCTGAGAATGAACCTTGTCAGAGGGATCACCAACATAGGAAGACCATGGCTCTGACTCTAGAGAATACGGACTGGGCTATACTGGAGAAGTAGCCAGACCTCGAATGGTGTACAGGGCTAGTAGGCACCACAGAGAAGGTCAAAGGCCCAGGAAGTACCACCAGGCCCCACCTTGCTGAGACAACCAGATCACAGGTCATGGAACCCAGACTTGGCTGTGAAAACCCTGAGACCAAGAGCACCCAGGCTCCCTTGAGATCAGCAGATACTAGACACATATCCGAAGCACAAAGCCAGGGAGTCCCTTCGTCAGCACCACAGGGGAGAAACAACAGCTCCTTTCTGTCTGGATCTCCAGATCCAGCTCAGGAACAGCAAGAGGGAGCAGAGCACTTTTATCCAGTACGAATAAGTATTAATGTATATTAAGTGTTTAGTGTGTGCTAACCACAGGTGTAAGCTTTTCACCTGCTTTAATTCATTTCATCTTCACAACTCTAAAAGGTAAATATTATTCCTCCCATTTTAGAGATTCAGAAATTGAGGCACAGAGAAGTTTAGTAGCATGCTTCAGGGCACACAGCAAGTAAGTGGTCTAGCTGAAACATAACCAGAGACAGTCTAGTTCCAGAGCCCATGCTCAAACAATTATGTAAATTGATTATTTTTTTTAAATATTTTTATTTACTTCTTAAAAGTAAGCTCTACACCCAATGTGGGGCTTGAACTCACAACCCCAAGATCAAGAGTTGCGTGCTCCACTGACCGACCCAGCCAGGCACCCCTGTAAATGGTTTATTTAAATCAAGCAACAAGGGTAAACCTGAACTTTATAAATATGGAACTGGTGAAATAAATTATGTTACAGTCACTTGAGGAAATTTAATGTAACCACCATGAAGAAAGAGGCAGGTTTCTATGTGCTGATATGGAATGATCTCCAAGATATATTAAGTGAAAACAGCAGGGTACAAAAAAGTGTGTTATATGCCATCTTTATGAACAAAAGTGTTCATAAATATATGCTTATGTCTGCATATATACTTCTGGTAATATACTCCCAAACTCACAGTCATTGGGACTTTTGGAGAGAGAGACCAGGAATCCCAATGATAAGGGTTGAGGGGAAATCTGCTTTTCATGCTATTCCCTTTTGCGCCTTTTGAATTTTGTACTATGTGCATATGTTACCTAATCAAAAACATGTGATTTAAATAAATAGATATAAAGAAAGCGGAGGGGCCTCCCAGAGACATGGGAAGATAAAAACCATCTCACGAATCTGAGTGAGGCCCTCTGGCAGGGGGCAAGTTTTGCTAGCGATAACACTCTAAATAAAAGGAATATCTTTGGGGCGCCTGGGTGGCTCAGTCAGTTGAGCGTCCAACTTTGGCTCAGGTCGTGATCTCACGGCTTCTGAGTTCGAGCCCGGAGTTGGGCTCTGTGCTGACAGCTCGGAGCCTGGAGCCTGCTTCCGATTCTTTGTCTCCCTCTCTCTCTGCCCCTCCCCCACCTGCTCTCTGTCTCTTTGTCTCTCTCTCAAATATAAATAAACATTAAAAAAAATTAAAAAAATAAAATAAAAGGAATATCCTTCAAAGGAAAGAAAGAAAACAAACATGACAGGACGTATTTAACAGGGAGGTTTGACTGACCAAGTTTGATAGATTTCAGATTCCAAAGTGAGGTGTGAGACCATATGGAAAGTTCACAGTAGATGCCAAAAGCAGGTTAGACAACTGACCCACATTAAAGGCCTAACATGTTGATGAGAAAGGGAGGATCTGGTGAGGAGGAGTTCTCTGGAAGGAGCTATAAAACCTGCTCAAGGGTAGAGGAGCTTCAGCTCAGCATGACCCCATGGAAACTCGTTTTGTTATCCTTGTGTGATTAATTCTGGAGGTCGCGACTGACAACCTTAAAGGGGCCAGGTCGCAAAGAAGAGGGAAACAGGGCCCGCCCCACCAAAAGCATCAACAGAACACTTCCTGTGGCCCAGAGGTCATTTTGTTAGTTTTTTTAAATAAACTTTACTTATTCATTTTGAGAGACAGCGAGAGTGGGGTGGGAGGGGGAAACAAAGAGAAAACGAGAGAGAGAGAGAGAGAGAGAGAGAGAATCCCAAGCAGGCTTTGCACTGTCATTGCAGAGCCCAACTCAGGGCTCAAAACCATGAGATCATGACCTGAGCCAAAATCAAGAGTCCGAT